ATTATTATTATTATTAAACATTAATTGATAAAGAAAATGTATTCTTCTCGTCAAACTTTTGAATTTCTAAAAACTTCTCATTGTATGAGAAGATCGTCCCATTTTTAGGGTCAATAATTGTTAATAATAAATCTCAAATCAACACAGGAACTCTATCCAACTTGGAAAAGATGAGGAATACATGCACATATCAGTGTCAAAATCAAATGATCAAAGTGATACTTGATTCGGCTTTAACATATAATACTGAAAACACACAAGCAACAGGTCAGACACAGAGCTCACTGACGCACAACAATCCAGATTCCAGATTCCTGACCCCATCAAACCACTGTGGTTTTTGGTCACTTGTGGATCACCACTTAAACATAGCCCATTAAACCAGTACAACCACTTAAACAAAGCCCAGGTAAAATACAGCACTCTGGACTACAGACACCAACCTGAGGTTGGAAGGCACTATGGGTGAATGCTGAGATAGGTGGGGCAGGTAGAGGAAAACACATTTTTAAGAAAACTTCAGCATGTAAAATATAGCATTATACAAATTTGCTTTTGTTCTTTTATACATGGGTAAGAGACACAAACTATACCAGCAAAATCCTACAATTTAAATATTTGTATATGGCAAGTTAATACACTTTACCCCACTACATATGAAAGGGGTTTGGAAACTAAAAATAAATGTTGGAAAATAAATGTTGCCCCCATTTCTCAATTTGCCTCTGTCAGACTCAGGTGAAGCTCTCATGGATTCTTAGGTAATTGCTGTTAACACAGCTAAGAAGTCAGTACATGCACTCTGCTGTGACTAGTTCCATTCAGTCATACTGTCTGCTTCATGTGCCACTGGGGCAGTAAGGACACCACGCCAAAGCACATTACTGCACAAATTCAGCTTTTTGTCACAAATGCCACAACGGATATAGGAGCCGCATAGTCGTTAAATTACTGACAAAGACGGGAAAAATATATATTCCTGTTTACATTATTAATCTATGAGACACTGTTTAGACTGTTTGGAAACTTCCAATTAACCACAGTATTTTATTATCATATTTAGCTGAGGTCATTTTTTGCATTTTGAAAGTGGGGAGACAGCATCCAATGTGCTCATGGCACAACAGATTTTAACTGATTTATTGGCTGAAAAACAGAGGAGCCCCCAGATGAAAATAATTGTCTTTTGCCTCTACCCTCTCATGTTCAAGTTCCTCAGAAGTTGAAATGGTGGAGGAAAGTCTTCCATATTTCCTGTGAGAAGTTCCTGTGAAACTGAGAACACACATTTCAGGAAGATTAGAGGAAATAACTTCACAGCAGGAATGACAACACTACAGCTGCACTTAAGCTGTTGATTTCTTTAAATACAATGCTTACAATACCTGTCATTATTACAGACTATGAGGTTAACATGCCTGTAACAATTTAAACATAAGAAGATACAAAGGATTACAAACAAAAGAATTTGGCCTGTTTAGCTTGCTTGATTTCTAGAAGCAAAGTAATCCTAGATTTCTTCATTTGCTTCTTGATGGAAGCCAAACTCACTTTCAACAGCATGGTTTTTTAAGTTTATTTCAGACTCCAATAAAACAAACACTCCACTGTTACACATTTTTGCTAGAACAATGCATGCATTTAACAGGTTTTTATCACTGTATGACGATGTTATCACAACAAAGGTGCTTCCTTTCATAGTCACTTCCCTTATGATCTTGCTTACTTAGTATAACATTTTAATTGAACATCCTACTCATTTTTAACATTGTCTGCATGCAGATTCAGAGACCAGATATGATTCCTGAACGCGAATGTTCTTTTAGGTGTCAAGTGCTTTAACACCAATTCCTTCTCTGTCTGTCCAAAATGCTCTATTGATGTTGTAAAAGTTGATTTCATGCTGAAAAAAAGAGGAAAAGAAACAACATTTCGGCTGTGGAGCCTTCTGACACACCCGAAGAAGGCTCCAGAGCCAAAACGTTGTGTCTCTTTTCTTCTCTTTTCAGCATGGAATAAACGTTTACTTGTTCCTTTGTGGCCTACACATGCTGACGCAGCTTCCTACAGTACTTGAACTATTAATGTTGTATTGTGTAACATTGCTCTCTACTAGTCAAGCTTTTATGAATTAAATTACATCAGATCACATGCTAGTGCTGTAACTTCTGCTTCTTTCAATTTGTTTCTTATAATCCTGGCATTTAGTTAGAAGCACTCAATTACCTGGTCCTTTGACATTTTGTTTTTCCCTTCAGATCTCTTTCTGACTAGCATTTTTGAATCTCTTTTAAAAACTATCTTTGGATTTTCTTCATTTCCAATTTAGTTCAAATGCTTCGGAGTTTCAAAATCCTTAACCCACACCTATCAGATTCAGTTTTAATCCATTATTTTCAGCTTTTTTTTAGCACCAGACATACTTATCTGTAGTAAAATGAAAATATTTGTATGGTTATAAATGACAGTTTTGAGTAAAAAAATGTTTGTTAAAAAATCATTGTTAATGTTCTACCACATTGTTAATGTTAAGTTTTTTTTCCCCCCAAACACTTCAGAATTCCAATAGGATGAATATGGATATAGCAACACTATTTCATAGAAAAGTCCCATGAAAGGTAGCACAGGGACCAAAACACATCCATTTATTTATTTATTAATTTTAAGTTGCAGTTTTGACCGTTGTTCTTTTGATGATACCCAATTATACGGTACTTACCTGTCGGCATCAGACACCAGGGCCAGTCTCCCATAGTCCCACAATATCTTTCTAATGATAGAAAAGATGGCCAATAGGATCTAGAAAAAAAAGGTATTTCTTTGTTCAAGCAAAGTGCATGCTTGGATCAGTATTTAAAACTTAAACAGCTCAACCGCATCTCCACCTTAAAGACATTAGGAACGTGGTCTTCCCTTAAACTGTCAAAGTCAATTATCTCATTGAAACTACTGAAAATGCAAGACTAAGGTAGAGACACACTGCCGGGGCTCACTGAATAGTCAGTGGCCTTCCATAAACTGTGTATTCCTGTGCACTGCAGTGTTTCCATCCTAATATACAGACTCAGACTCAAACAAACCATTATTTCAACCAACACACAATTGATTGTATGAAATCTTATTTTATCTTATTCAGTATTTGCTCATTCCAAGGAACAATACCACTTAAATAATACCCAAACCTATTTGGTGATTATTAAAAATGCAAATAATTTAATACATACAGTCTGTGCCCAATGAATTATTAGTATGAAACATGAGACAGTTGCATTTTAATTGTACATCAATACATAGTAGTCCACAAATGTATCCATACCAAAAAAAAAACTATATCCAAAGTTGATTTAGCAAGGAAAATGCAGCATTTACAAATGAAAAAATGACAATGGTAAAAATGTATAAAAAAAGAATACTATGTCATTATCATAACTGCAAACAAATAAGGACATATTTCTAAATACTGTACACAGTGTTGTAATCTATTCACAGCCTGTAAATATTTAGAAAATATTCATATATATAATAAAATGTAAATTTTGTCTTCTATCTTTATTTTTTCATCTGGTAGTTTCACAAAGCCTTAAAAAGTTAAAAGAAGCTTCTAGACGTCACCTTGGTTATAAGGTGGTTATATTGGTTGAGGCTGAGCACAAAAGCAAAACACACCTGTACACATCACCATTGGGAAATTCAGAGTATTGTCATAAATCCTAATATATTATCATTAACTCCAATAACTCAAATGATAGCTATTTAAATATGAGAAAGTCCTACCCAATGTGTTTTGGAATCAGATAAGTGGTTTGGGAGGATAACACACACCCACTGAAACAATTGATAATCTCCAACAAAATATTAGGAAACTCTCTCTAAGTCTCCTACTCAAGGCTGATCTCATGAATCTGAGGTCTGTGGTGCAGTACCATGGCAACATAAAACCAAACAGCATTTAGTTGCCAAATAGTAACTAAATAACTCCCATGTCAAATCTGACCACATTATACAGTGGCATGAAAGGTAAAACCTATGTTAAAAAAGAATGCCATCTCTTCAGTGAAGAATACAAATAAATCTTTTAATTTAGATTATTTAATTTTCAATAATCTTTTAATTCGTTGGACTTCTTATCAGAACTGAACAACAGACAAATTTCAAAGTTTGGCAGGATATTACTAATAAACAATGGTGCCTTCTGTCATGACACTAAAAACTGGGTTATAAATGAACTTGACAATAGGATAACAATAAAAAGCATGCATCAGACTGATTGAAATAAAAGTTAAGAGAACATTCTTGGCAGACACGAGGCTACTGTATATTGTAATTTAATATTGATGGAAAATTGCATTTTGTTTTTGTAAAAACGTAATAAGAATTTCTCAAATAAAAAGAGCTAATGGTCCGTTCACATCCAACGTTAATTTGTGTTTTAATGCTAAACTTTCTGCAATTTCCCTCACTGGATCAATAAAGTATCTATCTATCTAAACCTACATTAACTTTCCGACAAGTTAGTTTTAAAAAGGAAAAAGGACTACAATACTAGCACAAGCAGTGGCCATCCCGGATACTTCCTCCTAATATAGCAGTCTGTGAAACTTCCAAGATTTTGCAAGCTTTACTTAACTTATTTCACAAATGGTTTCTTTAAGTTGTATACTACATGTTACATTGTATAGTCCAGTTAAATGATACTTCTTATTGTTAATAATTGCAGGTTACCTGTAACAAGCAAGCAGACAAGATTTGGATCTTTGTTAATTGCTTGTCTCTAGCACATACAGTAATTTCCACCCAGTATTAGCTGTAAATTATCCTCTAACCTTTACACACCAGCAAATTATAGCTGGGTTACTTATCTTTGAAATGCTGGTCACAATTTTAGTAAAGCTGGACTGATAAGTTAGCAAGTTTTTATATAACCTGCCCATGTATCTACCACTTTGAATACTGATCACACCAGATTCAAAAAGCCAATAAAAGGTTGAGTTGATCAATGTTCACACAAAAATCATCTAAGGAATGTGGTCAAAGCAGCAAGCAGTCTTGGTGTGCCTAGAGAAAAAAGTTCTCTCTCCAGACCAGAAATTCCAAGGCAGTGCCTCAATATGGCAATGGGAAACAAAATAGTAGGTCTGACAGGTGAGATTCTAAACTGAAATTCAAAAGGATCTTTAAGGATATTCAGTAGAGTAGTTGGTGCCAGTCTGTTACCCTTCCTAAACTTTTAAACAGGCTTTTGTAAACTTGTGCAAAAGGCCTGCACTCAACTGAGGGTTAACCGAGTACCCTACAACCTACAAGTGTTTTGAAATTCCAAAAGAGGAAAAATCCTATATAAACAGATTATCTTTACAGCCTTATCAGTAACAGTGAGATATGTTTCAACAATAAGGTTTTGTGTTTAGCTATGTGCCTTACGAGGCTGTCATTGCAATACCTTCAACTGACCAAAACACAATAGATAAACCTTAAGTATGAGTTCTGCATAAATGGTTTCCAAAAGTAAATGGCTTTTAAGGAAAACCATAACCTCTAATGTTCACAATCAACTACTACAACACAACTAATTCACTACACAATACTACAGTTCTTTTTGGCTTTTTGTTGGTACACCCCAACTATATGGTCACCACATTAGGTGCTGGAGCCTCAAACATAACACAGATCTGTCTGTCTACCATGCCACCACATGTTTTGAACAAAATATTCAGTGGTCATTTCAACATTCAGCAAACACCACTACAAGAAATTAACTATGTTTGTGAGTTTCCTTCTTCTGATACTAATGATTACTTTAAAAAGATAAATATAGATATATTTATATATAGATAAAAATCTTATCTCTGCATGATGCTGTTGGGTGGGCCTCTATAAGCTACATTAAGAGAATTCAAGTTTTCCCTCAAATGGCAGTACTTGTGGAATTCACAGAACTACTGTTTGTACTGCAAATTGATTTTATTAAGAATTAAAATATACCACAGAACCCTGTTCTAGATTATATTCATGCAATTATGTAATTTAATTCTACATATTGTGCTGAATACATTGTATTTTTATTCATTGTATACCCAGACATCAAACTATAAATATAAAAAGGCAGACACTCAGCCTGGTATAAGGCTAAAAAATGCTCTTTATTAAAGGTATTTATTTTTCAAGTACAAACCAGGTAGGATATACAGTTAAAGGTGTAAACCTTATGCTAAAATTGTATAATGGACAACTTAACCTAATAAAACCTAATTTAGAGTACAGTGAATACTATGAATTTTAATAGCCACATTGCAAATTGGTGATCTGAAATGAGTCCAAAGAAGAGCAATCACATATTTTCTAGGACTCAGAGGAATGTCTTATACCAGGGGTTGTGCAGGTCTGAGAGCTATTCTGAGAGCTGGCTTCTTTCAAGAAAGTGGTGGATGAGATTCTTAGATCAAATAGCTACTAACAACCAAACAAGCTAAATAGGCCTTTCTCTCATGTCACTTATTAGTTTTAAGAATAACGGTACTTTACGAAAAGGAGACTTAAAGCAGTATTACTAGAGGCAGGAAATATAAAAAATGCAAATAAATGTGCAAGGACATAGTCCAAATATGCACTATCAACCCTTCACATTTTCAAGATTCTCTATGTTGGTGTTTACTTAATGTTACTGTTTTGACTTCAGGATCTTTAGCACTATATTTAAAATAATAATCTGGACATACAGAAGAATATTAATCTTATCAGTCTCAGTGAAATACATTTTAGGAGAAGTAATATGATTGAGGTCTTCAAAATTCCAAAGGAAAATATCCTTTGTACACGCAGTAAAATAAGACTGCATAGAATGCACTTCTGGGACAAACTACAGAGGGAAAGCCACTGAAATCATTCAAATCTGGGCTTAATATTGTGATGTTTATAGGAAAATTACACTAATGGCCCAAAATGCCTATTTGTATCATTTCATCTATTAAAATTCTCTTATTTGTTATAAATAGAGAAACAGGCCAAGTCAGTCTTCCCACCTCAAGATCTGATTTTCATGCTCAAGACTCTCTCTCTCTTTGGTTCCACTTCCCTCAACAGAAAGGGCAAAAGGTCACTCATTCACTGTATATACAGTATCCTATTTGTCCCTGCTTAATTTTCAATTTCTATTCTATATAATATACTTCAATACAGTGCAAATGCTACCTGTTCTACAAAATGTATGTCTGCAAATACACAAAAAACGTTAACTACAGTACAAGTAATGATGGCAGAGAAACAAAATTAATTACAGAGTACCTTATAAGATAATTCGAAAGGACTGTGCTCCTGTGTCTATACAAGCAAGATAAACTATCAAATTTGTTTTGGCAGTTTTAGAATTGAGAAGTCTGCAAGGTAACCACTAACAACACATAAGATAAGAAACAAGCAAAACCAAAAACAGAAAATATGTATTTTGGGTTACTTCTTTACCAGCTGCTGTAGATATTTCTTAGGCTTCTTTTCACATGAAACTACTTGGTTTCATGTGCTAGATTTATAAATCAGTTAATATTACTAATATTAGCATTATATGCTAACACATAACGTATGTCTTTTTTACTTTTTGATAGCTAATGCATTTACTTGCTCCTTTCTCTAATTCTGCCTTTGTCCTACATAGCAAAACACATGAAACATGTGGTACTAAGTCACAATGTAAGTTCTTCATTTACTTATTATTCTGTCACTCCTTTCAACTCGGTGAGATTAGCACACCTCACAGTCACAGCCACACAGTGCAAGTAAAGCCTCAACAAGTGTTCTTAAATGCAATTCAACTAATATTCTAGCTTGCTTTATAAGATTTACTTCTGCGATAAAATCCAAAAGGTCTTATCTGCAAGTTAAAAGTAAAATGATTAAGTTAATTAAAAGTAGATATGATAGAAAAAATAAGGATAAGATATCCCCCACAATATTTTTTTAAACGTTTAAAAAACAGCTATGCCTTGCTCAGATGGGGCTGCTGTGGGACAGTGGACCCAGCATTCAAAACAAAAGGAAGCTAAGGAACTTACCCCAAAAAAGATAAAATCTATCAGAAGTACAACAGGGATGCCTCCGAACTGCACCCCCCGCAGTACAGTGCTCTCCTCTGCTGGGCTGAAACAATCCGTGTTATTAATGCTGGAGCCAGTGTTATTCGCCATTGTGAAGAGGGGAGGACTCAACGGGAGACCCATCTTCAGTCCATAGTTTGAACAAGTCTTAAAAGAAAACAGCACACAATGTGGGTTTCGTTTTATTCCACTCAGCTTGTAACACACCACTTCCTCTTCCTCTCTACTTGCACCATACTGATAGTGCTACTCTAATGCAAGCCATTGGACAAGCACAGTCACTGCACAGAGGAGAAAAGAAAATCCCACAGAAACAAAGTTCTATGTCAGGGGAATTTATGCAGACACTTCCTATGCAATCAGGGTCTTAAAGTTGCACAATCCTGTCATACTTCTTATTTCGATGCTTTTTATTTGGACAGAAATGACAAATAAACGTCATAATGAAGTTCTTTGTGTACTGGTGTTTACCCTTCTGTATGTACACCTTGTCTGTTGGCAGGACAGACCTTTCTTGCATAAATTCCTCCAATGTCAACTCCTGGAAAACATTGGGGTTTTCCCAATGGCTGAATTCAAATATTTAAAATTTTCCTTAACCTGAGATGCCCAAGGATTAAAAAAAAAATCAAAACATATGTATTAATCTATCGACATTGCAGCACCTTTCTCTGCAATATTTCACTCTTCACATCTATTACATGAAACTGATTTTAAATATTTAAATTGTTTTGAGGACTGGGAGGTTTTGAGGTCATATATAAGAATTCCCTCCCTTTACTGCAAACTAAATTGCTTTTCTGCCCATTAACCCATAGAACTTCTTTAGTATTATTCATTTCAGTTATTATTGTTTTAACCCACAGCAATTTCATTTTACTCTAAAATTCAGACAACAGGCTTATTGTCTGAAGTAAACATATCCTAACTCTTAATCTTGAAGAGACAACTTTTTAATTGATTAAATGTTTTACACAACCCTTATAAACAAGTGCATCATGTAAATTTGAGCACAACAAAAGCACAGATATCTACAAATTATTTTCAATTTCATTGTAGGGCTATCAGCCAGCCCCATAATTCCATGCCATTTTAAAACAGGACTCATTTTTTAAAGCTGTTTCTAAACTGCTTCTCTTTTCCACATGTACTGGTCTTGATCAGCACTGGAATCAGAATAATTTTGGAATTCTATATTTAATTTTCTTTAACAATTTTAGATGTGCCCCTCAAGCCCTCTCCTCTTATAGGTATCTTTGGTGTTCCTCCTAATCACAATTTATCTAATATTCAGTTAGGCACCCTGGCCTTCTCCACTATACTAGCAAGACATCTGATTTTGCTCCATGGGAAACAACTGGTTTCACTCACTTTCTCCAGCTTGAAAAAAAATGGTTTTCTCTCTGTGGCTCAACTGCAAAATTGTATTCTGCCTGGCAGCCCTTTTTAAGTGTAATTTAATTGTAATATTCTTTCTTTTCCCTGAAAAACCAATAAACAAAGTGTAACAACTCAAATTGGTAATGATTCATTGTGACCATGGATGCTGCTCAGAATTTTATGGTGCTCAGCCACATTTTTTAACAATAGATCGATGGAATGGATTGAGCTGTAGAGAAATTTGTTCACTAGACTTGCACAGAGTTGTGCTTCAGTTTTAGCACAGCAGGTCAATAAACCTTTCTCACAACTACTTTTGAATGTCACACCTTATGACATCTGTCTTACTGCAGCTAATGCATTAAACCGTTTTAGGGATTAATGAATTGCCTCACTAGCAGCGTAGCTTAGAAGTTGAAAAATAAAATGTCTTCTTCAGATGTTCATCATTTTACATAAAGAAATGCCTTATTCCTCCTTATCTATCTCAATATACAGCATTTATTAGCTTTGGGCAGTATATAATCACACAGTATACGGTATTTAGTATCTTTGGTTTAGGTTGTAAATGTGAGTCAAGGATTGACCTTCTTGGCAACATGACAAGTAAACTATGTATTTTTACCCACGATTTTTTACTCTGCTAAAAGGAGTTCCAATGATCCTTAAAGCTAAATTCCTTCAGAAAAACTGCACATTTACAAAACAAAGTGCATTATAAAAAAGTATCATATAATCACAGAATAGACAGGAGGACAAGGGAGTGAGGGGATATTTAAAAGTCATTGAAGTAATTTAGATTTGCATTCTACTCTTACTGTGAATTCAAACTGAATTGTTGTACGGGGTCCACTAAAATAGCATAATCTTACTATTGTATTTACTGTAACGCAACGGGGGCTCTGGCGGGCGCCCTTGCCGCATTAGGTCGGCCCCATCCCGACTGAGGCTCGAACCCGGGACTTCCGCGTCTCTCTGCAGCGACCCAGCCCCGTGAGCTAAAGAGAGATCTCTTCACAGCCCAGTAGCTGTAGTCCTGCTATCACGGGGAAGGGCGGTGACATCACCTGCTCTGGTACGCCGGCTCTTACACAGTGCCTGTCGGCCGTAAGCGTTACAATACTTTTAAATAAAGTATATAAAATATATGACAGTAGGAGGAAACTTTTAAATATGTCTTAATCTTCATGACGTACAGCGATACAAATTAGGTCTCAATATATTTAGGATCATCTCTAAGGTTATGAACATAATATACGTCTTAACTTTTTTATTGATAATGTATTAAATATTTAACTTCTCTGAACTACGCTAAAAGTAATAAGGTATTAACATTATGTGCCCGTAAAATCTATTCTACAATTTAGCAAATGAGCTGTATCTTTATCAACATAAATAAATGGTCATATGAAAAGCATAGCTGACACCGATAGGTTATCTAATACTCTTTTTTTCAGGTTAAAATGTACCACTGTAACGACTGCAAATGGTGAAGCACTCTATACCATTACAAATAGAACAGTAATATTTCATAAGATGATATACAACACCAATTTAAGAAACGTTAAATTATCATAACTTATCTAAAAAATTGCTTATTACGATTATAAGCCTCATAAATGTGTACTTTCGCTGAACCTTTCTAACCTTGTTGCTAACAGCAGCACCTTACAGAACAGAATCAACTATAGAAAGCTGCAGTGATATTAGGAAAAAATACATCTTCAAGCTAAAGAACTGGTGAAAAGTCTGAGACTGCTTTACTTTCAATTTCTGACGCATCAAAAACAGGTGATTTTACGTCTTAATTCTATTCTAACAACTGTTACAACTTAAGCCACTACTTGCGTGTGCACAGTACCTGTGTTTTATAAAGTTAAATAATCTGTTTTATGTAACTTAAATAACGATATGAAGACATTGTTGTCAGTTCATGTTTGTTTAAAAGAAAGCTGAAAATACACAAAACCGATTTACATGCCATCACCGCTACGCAAGTGCTTTTAACTATCCACCCAGTACTGCCTGGAAATGTAAAACCCAGCTTTAAAAAAAACAATGATTAAAAATATCCATAGACCGAACACATCCAACAAAAAACATAAAACGCTTACAACACTGATACCTGAACAATGTACCCTGATGAAATTTCCCCATAACCACCGTTCCTGCTTCGAATTTCCAAGGTAAAAAAAAGTTAGGAAGTTGTATGATGTCCGCCCATGCGCAGTGGTCACAAAGTTTTTCTTGTACGGTGAGTTTCGGAAGTCTATTATACCAAGCTATTATTCTAAAAAAACACTCGAGGTAATGTGTTGCACGGTCAAGGTTTTTTTAGTTTGTTTTCAAGATAACTTGTTTAATAACGCAAGTTCGGTTTTACTTTTATGACAAACTGAAAACTGACATTTGTCGTAGAAGTCACATTTCTGGTGCAACTACTTTTTTTCATTTGGGTTTGCTTAAATAATTGTTTACCGTCGTGTCACATGTAGTCACATGTTTAAGGATTGTATATCACTTAGGTTAGCAACGTACTGTGAACAGAACTGGTGTTTCAGAACGTTGTTTGCAAAATAAGGTCACATGATTCAACAATCTTTTATCAGTAACAAATTACAAGTGTTTATATGGGTTTAATGCAATAAAAATAGTGCAATAAATGCAATATAAAGTTAATTGTGTGTAAACTCAGAAAATATACATTACAGATTACAGGAATTTAAAATTTCTCTAACGGAAGCAAGTCAAAATATTTTATTTTTAAAAATAATATAGCAAAGATGAAGACTTTATATTATACAGATACTATATCTTTGGGTGCTAGTATAATATTATAATGTAGAGTGATCACTACTGGCAATAAAGATTGAAGTATTGTATTTATCAATTGTTTTTCAGCATCTATTTTTGTGGAAAACCATAGAAATTTTAAGGATATTAATTTTCTCAACTTTTGAAAGTACACATGTTTAATGACTGGCAGCTGCTAAATAGGTCAAATCATCATTAAATTAGTGAAAAGTGGGGTCAATCTGACATGCATATGTGAAAATGTTTTAAAAATCCTATTACTCCTTGAGGATCAATTAAAACATGGCCAATTTCATTCACAACCAGAGGTTTTCAAGTTGAAAAATAAAATATACTGGAGCTCTAACCATCAGTGACACCTGTCATAGTAGTCCTGCTTCTGGTGCAACTACTTTTTATTTGATTTTGCTTAAAACATTTACCATCTTGTCACGTGTACAGTATGGACGTATGGAAACTTAAACACCCTCTCCCGCTCAACATCTGTCAGTTTTATCTCTCCTCGTGGAACCAACTGCCGTGTTATAACACAGTTTGAAAAATTACAAAAAATAACTCCGTTTTTTTGACAGACATTTTATCTAGTGTCAACAGGATGAATGAATGTGAATAATCTTCCTGCATAAAACAAGATGGCTACCTGTCTACAATTTCTTTGCCAATATGCTAACTCACTCCATGGTTTAAAAACCATTCAACCAAGTAATTTCAAATATTGTAAATATTGATCTTTTAATATGTCTTTTATGCATAGCTGTTCCACCATATTCTATGATAACCACCTGACCCATATAAGATACTTAAATGATTCCAGCACTGTTTTGGCACAATTCTAGCTGTAAAACTAGTCCAGTTATGGCATGAAAGACCTGGGCCATTGTCAAATTTTATTACAATCCAGTCATATCCAATCTAAATTAGCCAACAGCCTGTTTACAGGGAACCTGTCACAAGGGAACAATCTGGGATTCTGCACATAATTTGCAAAACTATGCAGACTCTTACAGAGACGTAACCAAGCACAGGGAGAGATCCATGAGATGGGATACAAAATAAAGCAGAAGCATGATAACAAAGATAGAGAAACTCACAAGCAAGACTCAAGGGGCCCAGCGATGTAACTGTCAGATCTGAGTATTTATTTTCTGAATCACCTGGAATGGGCATGTTCGTAAATCATCTTCAGGTGATCCAAATCTCCTGTCACACAGTTTCTGTGGCAACCAGTCCTGGGAGAAGGGTAAGACGGTGAAGGAACTTGTTGCCTTGTCAATAGTTCTCGCTGGAACTTTTTAGTCATGTAAGGCTTTACTTTTCATGCAGATCCAACACATCAACCATGGTGATTACATCATGCTCAGTGACTGGAACAGTTTTTGGGATTGAACAAAAGTGACTTGAGAGAGCTACAGCAGATCTGTTACGAAGAATGGGCAAATTGTACCCAGATAGTGTGTGACATTAATAGGAACATACCCTAAATGACTATAATTACTGCCAAAGGTGCTTTCACCATATATTGAGTTCATGGGTGTGAATACTTATTATTCAATATATTTCAGTTTCTGCTGGCATTTACTGTAATTTATCTTATCTTTAGAAGTCCTCAGTTTGGGCATTCAGGTTTTACATAAAAGATTAAGTTTCACATAATATGTAACCTTATTTTAGTTACGGGAAACCGAATAATTGTTACTGTTTTGTGCTGTAGTTTAACCTTCTTCTAAAAAGAGATGTTAGGATACAGGAGGCATTACATGTTAGGGATATACAGCTTTAATACTTTTCTAGAACAATACTTTTGCTGTTATTAAATCCATCTAATTTTGAGTTAAAGTTCCTAGTATGGAATAAAAATATTATCTTGCTGTGGGTGCAGCATAGCATTGCAGCATTGCTTCCTTGTAGGTCTGGGGCCCTACAAGGAAGGCCCTGGGGTTCAATCCTGAACCTGGGGTGCAGTTTGTGTGAGGTTTGTATGTTCTCCCTGTGTTTCCACAGGGTGCTCTGGTTTTGCACAGTCCAAAGACAGACTGGTAGATTAATTGGCTTCTGGGAAAAGTGGCCCTAGGTACTGTATGAGAGTGTGTGTGTCTGGTGTCTACCCTGCAATGGACTAGTATCCTGTCCAGGGTGTACCATGCCTTGTGCCCATGGCATGCTGGGATGGACTCTGGCACACTCATGACCCTGAATTGGAAGAAGCCATTGGAACATGGATGGATGTGTGTTGTGGTTGTGTCTTAATGTGTTTTAAATATAAACTTGTTTGTTTTTTACCACAAACTTGTTTGATTATGGGTATTTTGAAATTGGTGTGAACTTGGTGTGGTTCTGTTTTACTTACTAATAAGGTGAGCAGAGGTTTGTAGAATTTGATATTTTGCAGAATTGTTTTTATTACACAGAATCCCCCCTAGACCACATAGGATTTTTTTTTCTTGTGGTGTGGTGGTGAAGGTCTCATCCTGGACACACCTCTCCCTCTAGTGTCCATTCATTGCAGCTGCAAGCTGGATTACAACTTTGCCCTGATCTTACCAACCCATTACATATCTAAAAGGTATTAGTTCAGGTGGGTGGCTGCATCAGCATGCGAAGGCTGCAAAGGAACAAGTAATAGGTTTATTCCATGCTTCCAGGTGTCTGAAGAAGGCTCCACGGCCGAAACGTTGTGTTCTCTTTTTTCTTTTTTTCAGCATGGAATAAACCTATTACTTGTTCCTTTACATATCTAAAAGGACAGCTGAAAATCACTTTTTATATCATCTGTAAACCACTCCAAACCACAGCACTGTGTAAATTCTATTACCGTTTTAGTTTCAAGGGATCTAGGCTGTGCCCTTCTCAATAAAATCCTAAATCATATGAACTCTTCATGTATTTGATTAATTAAACATTAAAACACAACTTCGAAGAAAAATAAATTGAATAATGTATGAAGTAACAACAAAGGTAAACAGATTTAATTTGAGATAAGATCAATCTAGAGAATACAGAGCTGTCCAATAATGTTTTATCAGAAGGTGAGCTAGTCTCTCCTCATTTTCTGTCTTCATTAGGGCATCTTGTAGAAATAATAGAACAACAAAAATATACTAGAGAAAAATGTTTTAGGCAAGTATTGCAGTGCAAAGATAACAATGCAAAAAAATCCAGTTACATGCTCGCCAAGTGGTCTGCTACATAGATCCTGATTTAGTACTGCTATCCACACCCATGGGTGTTTAATGGATGAGAGATGCTGCACCACATAGCCCAAGCCTTGCCCCTAGCCTTCCCTTGAATCCCTAGAGAAAGCTCGTGTCCAGCAGACATTGTGTGAGAGCAAGGTTTATTGAACCTGTTGAATAATTAAGTATAAATTTAGTACAGTGTAAGCACATGCAATATGTATGAAAAACCATGCAGGGATGTATGTATTTTTTAAATAAAATTTACAATTAAGACTATAACTAAAAAAAACATAGTGGATTTAAATCTGATTTAATGATAATACAATATTGGAAATCCTTTTGGAAACAAAGCAAAATGTGTAGGGAATGCCAATAGCTCATTATTAATTTGCTTCATTTTATTAAAATGAGAAATTACTCAGAACAGTACTATGTGACCATGCTAAAATGTCATTGGGTTTCAAGAAAGCTATCAAAAAGTGCCACACTCCCTCAAAGTCTATAAATACATAGATAGGGATTCTATTGTAAAGTGCATCAGTCTAATGATATGTTATGCTGTAAAGCGCTTTGAGAAGCCACCTTTAAAGGCGCTATATAAAATAAAGTTTATTATTATGTAACATTTACTTTTTACACAAACATCATTAATCCACATTGCATAATTTACATTATATATCTACTTTTTCCTTTACTGTTATAGTAATTGCTTCAAGATAATATATTATTAACATGATTATGATTCTGATGTTGGACACCTAGGGAAATGTCCTGGAACTCTCCAACTGTTTAACTTTCTTGAGCTAAACCTAATTATTCAGAATTTTTACATCACAGCTTCCATCTAGTTACCTGAAGAAGTAGGCTCATCAATGAGGCACATCCCAAAGCAAGCAATCGTGAAACAAATGCACCTGTAGATTGCATAAAAAATGTGACTATTGCTAGTTACCAGCAGGTATATCAACAGGTATACCAACCTTCTTGGTATATTGACGAGTTCTTAGTCACTCTTAAGGATGGAATTTAATACAAATAGTATTAATACAAAAGAGTGTCTGCTTGAGAGGCAGGATAAAAGTTTTCTGTCACCTGGTACTGCTTTTTTCAGTGCAATTGTCTCTTATGGATAGCACAACAAAAATATTACAAGCAGAACTATTATATTGTGGCAGGTCTACTGTGGCAGGCGCTCCTATGCTGTCCTGTCCCAAGTTTCCCTGTGCTTTGCTTGTCCTTCCGGTGTGTCTTTGTCTGGGGCTATATATTTCCGGGTCACCCTTTCCTCCTCGCTCAGCATTGAGGGATCGGATGTCTTGAGACCTGCCTAACACCAGGTCCTCTCCTCCGTGGCCTGAGGCCATAGGTTTCTACCCGACTTCTTCTGACCTCCTGAGCCCAGGCTAACCCCTGTTTTGCCTCTACACATAGGGTCTTTTTCCT